ATGGTTGCCTGAACGAGACCTCGACAGTGACACCACTGACATCCCACCATAGGAGGGAGAGCATCCTACAAGGCAGTTGATGACTGCTGGGGAGCTGCAGCCTTACTGGGGATGACTCACCTCCACAGCTGGTCCCTGGCAAGTGGTTAGCTCCAAAATGTGTGTGTAAGGTCAACACCAGAAGTACTTGTCTGTTTCTCTCTCTCTCTCTCTCTCTCTCTCTCTCTCTCTCTCTCTCACACACACACACACACACACACACACACACACACACACACACACACTGTGTATGCTTCGGTTCCTGCTCCAGGTTCCAGCCTGACTTCTCTCAGTGATGAAGCATGACCTAAGAGTTGAGAGCAGAGATAAATCCTCTTCAAGTTGCCCCGGATCAGGATATTTCAGTCACAGCAATAGGAACTCTCACTCACACAGACACTAATTTTTGTCTCTAACAAGCAGTAAATGGGAAACAACGTGTCCTGGACGGCCCTGGGAAGCTGGAAGTATGAGCTAGTGAGCAAACGGGCAGACAGTTACCTTGCTGTAGACCTGTACAGACAGTTTAGAGTACGTGAGTGAATCTCAGAACAGCCTGGTCACCTGTAAAGGATTTGTCCACACTCACACAGCTCATCAGTAGCAGAGCCTGGCCTGCACCACACAACTGGTAAGTCTAAGGCCACAGTTCACACATCGAGCTCAGTTCCCCTCCCGCAACTGGACAGGCCTGTGGCCAGGTCCCGCAGAATTACAGCTCTCTCAGTAGATACGGCATGACAAGCACACATTTCTTTTGCAGTTATATCACCAGGAAAGACCAATGAACTCATGGGTGCACACACACGTCTGTGTATCCCGACACAAGAGCTGACCAAGAACTGCTCTCTCTCTTTTTTAACTTTACAGGTCTTCTTGTCACTGCTTTAAGGAGGAAATGCACCAGTGACACTTGGCAAGAGTATCATTTTATGCTTTTTGCAGTATTTGTAGATTATTCTAGAAAACTGTGATCATCTTTCTCAAATTGTCAACCTAAAGCACATCACAGCCCTAGGCGGCCCAGAGGTGACATCAGGAACCCCACCTCAGCTAAGGAAGGCCTGCTAGGCAGAGTAGCCTGAGGACTTGTGTTCCGCTCGTGGCACCCATGGAAAGGCAGAAGGAAAGAAGTCATCCCTTACACGCGTGTGTGCTGCACGAGTGTCCCACCACCACACACAGATGCTGATAAAACGCTTATACAATAAATCACGCTGAGACTGGATCATAGTGAGATTTTGGCTTTAGTTGACAATACTGCACCTTTTTAGCAGTGGACATTTAGTGGACATTTGGGCCCTTGATTTTAATCTAGGGAGCATTAATATGCCTCTCATTGGGGAGGATCTGTAAACTGTGGAATCCATCATCTTCCATCAGAGAGACAGTGGTCATTATCCTTTTCAGTGTGTGCTTTTGGGAGCTCTACTTACTCTGTCCCATTTCATCCTAACGTGACTCTGAAATGCTTGGCACAGTGCTGTCCCGGTGATCAGACACACGCTTGGTTTAATGTCACGCAGCACAGCTACTTCATGAAACGTGGGGTTTGCAGCAACTCTGAGGCAAAGAGAAAAAGCGGCCGCATGCTGAATGGACGCCAACAGTATAGATCTCACAGTGACCTCAGAGCCAGGTGTGGCGCTGCCCACCAGAAACACAGGACACAGCATTTTTGCTGGGTGAACAAGGTACCTGATTAGTTCAACTCTACAGATGTCGGAAGCAAAAACCAACCAAACAAAACCCAAAACTGCTTTCGTGGAGACAGGGCTAGTCTGAATGGGTTTGGAGGAAGGTCCGCCATCAACAAGAACGGGCTGAATGGGCGAGAACAGGACCAGGAAGGATGACTGTGTCCTGAAGGTACCTGCCAACACTGCACTTTGGCACAGTCAAGAGATTAGCAAATAAAAATGTGTGCTGGGCTATCTAATGTTTATTATTATTATTAGACCTCTGATTATCACGGCAGTATTATCTAACCCGATATCACAAATAACAAGACACAGATACCTATTACATTTATAATTGCCTTATTTACCTTGGGCCAGAGAGATATTCCTACCTACACTCAATATCCTCACCATCCATTCCCAGACCCTATCCAATGCCATCCTCCTTAACCATCCTATCTTCCATCCATAATCTTATAAATCCTTGCTTTTATTCTCCATCTGGGCCTTTTCACTCCATTATTGGAGTCCTTTCTCCCGGCCCCATGTGGTTTCTTCTCCACCTAACTCATCCTGGTGTCCTCCTTCTTCCTCTCTTCCTGTAGGTCTCCTCCCCTGATTCTCCTGATTGTCTGTCCTCGAAAGCCCAGGAACCTTAGCCATGCTTACCCCATTCTGCCCTGCCCAAGTACAGGCCATTTAAGGAAGCAATCAGGAGTAATGTTTTAGGCACAAACAAGGATGGGCAGCTCCAGCGGGCGGTAACCAGACCCTGACTGCCAGCAACTAGCATTAAGCCAACCTCCAACAAGAGGCCGTTGTTCTATTATTTCTAAGTGTTTTACTGCTAAAAAAAAAAAAAAAAAAAAAAACAAAAACATATAGGAAAGCTGAATTTTATAATTCCCACCACTTGGAGTCCCCATTTACATTTTTTTATCATGCTTGCTTCCTACCTGTCAATCAACCATCATCCTAGCTATCCATTAGCATATCATATATTTCAAAGCTTAGGCTGTCAGTAGACAACATTGAATCTTGAAGGAGAGAATGAAAGAATATTCTCATTCCTCTAAGAATACCCGGGGAAATTTAGCAGGTTAAAAAAAGAAAAAAGCAACACAATTATCAGGACTATTGCTCAGAGACAGACCACAATCATTTACTTTCCAAGATTTGGAAAAATCACTCGAACAATTTCAACGTTTCGTCAGTCTGCCTAGAGCAGTCCTGATGACGTCATCACCACCCGGTCAAATGCTTCGGCATACGAAGATGCAGGCTGTTCATTACAGAGAAACTCCTCTCTGCTACAGACGGGGTGCTAGCCGCACTAAAGTGCTTTTCTTCACTCTTGTTCTTTCTATACCCTCGTCTCCCCACTCAAATGATCCCTTGAGTGTAGAAACACCGTGCTTTCCACACCTAAGTCCTCTCACTTAGAGGGTTTTTTTTGTTTTTTTGTTTTTTTTTTTTTACCTATTTCACAGCCTTGTCATGGAGATCAAAAGTGAAAAATAGGAGAACACTGTGTAAATAACACAGGAGAGCAGCATTATTTTGAAGAAGCGTAATGCTCTCCTTCATAAAAAACATGGATGGCTACAGTAACGGTCTGCACAGCCACTGGGCTTTTTAAATCAGTTAAAGAGGACTTCAGAGGTTAGAGGGCTGGAATATTGGCAGCCGCCCTTACTTTCTCCCCATCAGCAAGCTGCGTTGTCAAGGATCAAGAGGAACGGTGGCGTACAGCACACCGGCTGGCTTGTTTTCCTTAGTATTTGTTTTGGAAATCAGCCCAGCTTTAAAACAATGCTTCCATTAGCTGGGTACAGTACCCATAATTATCCATCTCCTCTGACCAGTGCCAACTCATTCTCTGTTCTGCGTTGCTGTTCACCTGGGTAGCGCTAAGAGAACAAAGACACCCACCTGATGTTTAAAAACGTGTGGGACAGATTTCTTTTCTTGTTTCTTTTTGAACAGACATTTACTGCTAAGCTTCAGATAAAAAGTCTTGCAGTAAGACAGCTGCAGGGCTTGTAAATGAGGGTCCAAGGCTGTCCGACAGTGCTCACGTGGGGCAGTTTTGCAGCCTGGATATTTAGCGCTTGCAAGATGTAAGGTGGTATATTTTCCATTTCTTTGGGAGGGGAATACAAATTACGGCAAGGTCAAAGTTAAGTGGGAAGTAAGCAAAGATAAAATGAGGAAGGAGACAAGTTCCACCATCCATTACAGTTATGGAGATGCTGCCAGGATTCCGGCACTTTGTTTTATGTATAAAGGGAATTGAAGAGAAAGGTCTGGAACTTGCTCTCAGAAACATCCCTTCCCATAAGAGTTGACCAGAACAGACAAGAATATTGGTTGGTACCCAAGGCGGGGGTGGTGTGCTCCCCCTCTTTGAGGAGAAAGGAAGGAGGAAATGGGGGAGGGCTGTGAGGGGGGCTGAGAGGAGAAGGGGTAGGGGCCTGTTATTAGGCTGCAAAAAGATTAAATTAATTAATGAGAAAAGTTTAAAAAGGGTATTAAAAGGATTATTTTGAGTAGATGGACTACAGCATGTAAACAAAGCAATGTTCACCAATTACACTCGTACTGAGTGTGTTTCCAGTGTAGATAGCATCCCAGAGAAGAGGAAACCCCAAGACCATGCTTATCATCAGCTCCAAAAACAAGGCATGCTTTCCAGGTGGGAAGGGTGAGTCGGAGCAGGAATCACTGCACTAAGCCATCAACCCCGCTTGTCTGGAGCAGAGCAGAGAACACACCCCACTCACACCAAGATGTCTCCTGATGATGTCGAGTCCCCTAAACGCACAGCTCCCCTGGGTTGGTTCCACGACAGTGACGCAAATTCCTCACCACAGATATGATTTAGCTTCTTTGAGACACACATACTAGGAACGAAGAGGCCGGAAGCATCAAGGCTTGTTCCTTGCTGGTGAGTATCCTTACAATAGTCAGCTACACGACAGCAAACACACAAACACACATACAGCGAGTGTTCATAGTGAAACACTGGTGAG